ATTAATTAATACCCAAATATAAGAAAACGTTCAGTGCACAAATTCAAAGACCAGAATAAGTATACAAATTACTAGTTCCCAATGCGTGCAGAAATTGAAAGAAAATTAAATAGCCTCCAGCTATGTGATAGGTGTCTGATTTCGTTCAAACCCCACGAAAAATTTGAAAACAAATACAGAGTTTCGATTTTGAAATTTTGAGTTTTAGCTTGAATAGTTTAGGAGATAGAACCTTTTGAATTTGACTAAAAGGTAGAATTTTCCAGAAAGACGGAGCCGCGTGCCTTTCATCGCGCGGGGGGAGAAATGACGTGGGAGGTCATGTGACTCGCCCCTATACAACGTCGCGTCGCGATGGCGCGGGCGGGTAACAACTCTGGTTTCCTCGTGGCCAGTCCATAAAACTTTGTCCGCCCAGGCTGTTGCGGAGTGCAGACGCACGTGTTCGGACCTGGCGAAGTGTTTCTCGAACACTGTAAGGCAGATTATCGATCTGCCGGGACACACCAGTTGCCAAGTTGCGGAGGCAGCCTAGCAGGCCTGTCGCAGGCGCCGCCGTAAGGCGCATGTATATAGAGGGTGGGTTGCAGTGGTAGCTCTAACAAACCGCCTTAAGAGTGAGGTTCTCTCTCTCTCTCTCTCTCTCTCTCTCTCTCTCTATATATATATATATATATATATATATATATATATATATATATATATATATGTAAATATATACATGTAAATACACTTGTGTATATTCACTCGGAACTGTTTTCTTTGTGGCTTAGATCCCTACCCACGACGTTACTGACGAGGTAGTTTTTAATGGTGGCAGCGGTGGAATCGCTCTACCTTGCGAGTCGGCTCTGAGCAGCAAAGCTGCAAGCTGGGACGCTACAATACCTGCAATAATCGCTGGGAACTACTTTGGGCTTTGTGATACACAATACATATTTAAAAAGCTAAACTAAAATTATAAAATATACCCCCTAAAACATTCACTTACAAACCTTAAATTTAGGGGGAGGAAACCCCTAACCTGGCAACACTGGCAAGCTGGAGCCCGCAGGCAATTTGACATTTGAGTATCTCTTATTTTTAAATTATACATTTTATTAATTTGATATTGGAACATTATGAAACTAGGCCGTTTGGATGCGTTTGGTAACCAATCCAGAATTGAAATAATGGCGTTTGGATAATATTGTACAAGGTTTTATCTATTGTATAAAGTTATAAGAACTATAATTATCGTTTAAATTAGACTATTCACCCTGCGAAAGGTGAGATACTGTTCTTGATAGCGGATAATAGAGGTCCATGGATTAGTTCTAGTATATTACGTAACTGATCACTGTTATTAATAGTAGGCCATGGATTCCGACCGACCGCTCGAATTTATTTATTAGCTTCATTAAAATTGTTTTAAAATCTGCATCTTCATTATACCAGTCGCCGGTTCATATTTGGCTATTGACCCTCCCTCCTTTCGAGTTGAATTCATAATTATAATCAGCCCTCTTGAAGATTTAATCGACTGAGTCTGTCGCAACACCATTAAGAACTCTGCACATTGAACTCTCTGAACTCCCGACATTTTCAGTTTATTCTAAAATGTTTGTACGACATTATTGCATAATCTGTGTGGTCGATGCCACCGATTCATTTATAAGGTTTACTCCAAAATGATTGGGTATTTAAAATATCTTGTGGAATTGTTTCAGCTTATGAAGAATTTCAGAATGGAGATTGTGAACACTAATCCCATTGAACTCACTCTTCGGATGATCGCAGTTCCTTCCGAGCCCCTTCAGCTGAAGTTGACGAGCAGATAACACTGTGATTTTTGAGTTATGGACGAAAAAGTTTTTTGCTATTAATTATGTAAGAAATGCGTAAGATAAGATAAAGTGATGGATTAAGATAAGGTTTTTAAAATAACTGTATATCAGGTAAAATAAGGAAGTTAATCTTCATAAGGTTCTTCAGTGGGTGAAACATAACAGATGAAATACAATAATTCACTTATTTTATCTCATGAACAGTTTTATAACTGCCTTCGTATTTTCCACTCAGAACTAAATATTATTTATGCAAATGTACAAGACAACCTGTTGTTATCTACAGTTGAAGAAGAATTGAACTTCAGATACTTAACTACCAGCTGTTAAGCACTTCGAAGACTGACAGAAAGCCATTAGCTTCATTTAAGTACAACAATAATTATTATAAGAATACATTTCAATAGTTGCAATGCAATAAAAAGCAATTTGCCATTCATTATTATGATACCAATAATTATATAAATATTTATATTTTCCATTTTATTTCACTACATAATAGTACAATAAATGTGTAATTTCTGACAAATTATTTTGTATATAATTGGATTTATGATGTATTATAAATAATTATAATAAAAAGTGATTTGTTGATTACTGAAATCATATGCTTGTAAAATTGTATATCTTGCATTAAAATAAAATTGCCAAATAATACATATTAAAAATGTGACGCCTGACATCTACCTACATTAATAATTTATCATGCATGCAGAAGTTAAAAGAAAACTATTCAGCCTCCGACCACTTGAAATGTCTCTTGGTTTCAACAACTGGAAACCTTCAAAAACAATAGTACAGTATCGAGTTTGGCTGAAAAATCGTAAATATTTGATTGTTATTACACAAATTCTCACACTGGACTCGACGACTGAATTGACATCATTATTTGTGACAGGCTGGCGTCATATGAAACCCTAGGCTTCAAGGAAGAGGCTCTCACCATTAAATATAATATTTACTAGTTTCATTATGGAACAACAACTTTTGTTATTCTTAGTCTGTGGCGGCTGATACCCCACCAGACAGGACAGGTTGCACTTCCATCGAATGACCAAAATGTAATTTCCAAAATTCAAAATACGAAAATATAATAAAAATATAAGCAATTAAAATTAATTAAAACTTAAAAGTCCATATTGAATCATTACTTACATAATTTTATGCGTCGGAAGTCAGGTATATTATACACTTCCCGGGCACGTTCTGGCTTTGATTTTTACTGAACACGTATGTTCGACTCCAGCACATGGCAACAAGCACTATTGCTTCGACACATTTCACACAAATACAATTATTCTATTTTGGAAATATCACTACCATTGTATATTTTGTGACAAAGATCCTTCCACACACACGTTCATATTTCCTCATCGCTCTCCGTGGTGTAAGTTCAGCCTGCTCAATCTACTCAGAAAGCGACTTCCTTCCAGATCGGCCAACTTTACACAAAGAATCCATCAAGTGTACATTTTAAATAAGTAAATCTAATATCAATGGAAAAAATTCTCAATACAGCATAAATAGTGCATTGAATGCCGTTAATAAGTGAGTGATATTGTGTACTTTCAATAACAATCGAAATTCATAAAAATACTTCGCGACGAAAATAGAATTTCGGTATTCTCTTGAAACTCCCTCCGTCGCCGCCCAGCGCTAGAGCGCCACCTGTCTGGTTGCCCAGCCAAGAGGCCCTATATTGCCCACGTTAAATCGAAGAGCTAAATCGTTAAATCGAGGTGCGTTTACACGAAGAGACAGTCTCCTAACTTCATGACGTCACGGAGATAAACTCTCTCTGACGGCTTTACACGTTTCGAAATATCTCCCGAAACGCGAGTCTCCTAACACACGGGAGAGTTGGTTCCTGAGATATCTCCGGA